GTTTGCTGAATGAGTCTAGTTGTGTTTTGCTTTTTTTAAAATGAGAAATGAGGCTGGGGAAGATACCTTCAGTTTGATATTTTAGTTTTCATGTTCATTTCTCTTCGTATATCTCACAAGAACCAGAGTCAGTTTGATTTATTCATTTTATTACTAACCAAGAGGCACAAAATGAAGGAGGATGGGGGGGAAAGAGGCAAATCGAAGGTGGGCGCTCTCTTAGGACCAGCTCACACAGCTGAGGGTTGCACAATTATCTGCAAATGTCAGGTCCCCAAGTCCACTTTTGCCTGCATTATATGATTGACTATCCCAAAGGTTCTGAATTTCCTCTAAATAATTGCATAATGTTCTCACTTTGTTTTAGCTAAGGAGACTTAGTCATGAGAATCAAACAAATGTTGTTGAGCTCTTCAAGTTTTCCAAAAGCTTTTCAAGGACTGATTTATTATTTTTGGATAGGTCAAAATCAGTCCCATTTTCATAGCCAGAGAGCAATTATATCTTTTGAATTCAAAGGATTAAAAATGTGTAAATACAAATGAATTCAACCCTGAATGTTTTGCAGTGGGAGGAGAGAAAGCTATTCAAAAATCACTGGTATTTCATTTGGAAATAGATTTGTGCTTTTAATCAAATTCAATATGTTTAAATTTGGTGGACATTCCCTTTCAGCAAAGCAAGGGAATCTTGCTTTGAACACTGACTTTGAAGGAGCTAGAAAAAGATTGCCTTCCCATGTCTTCTCTTGTTTGGTCCTCAATAAAACTTACGGGGGAAATAAGACCCCCTTCTTCACTTGACTCTCAAAGGTTTTAGGGAAAATCATACTGTCCTTTCAGTGACTCCGGAGCAAAAATAGCAATATAATTTATGTTGCAAGGAGTTTCCTAGCAACAATGAATGTTACAGAAAAAGCAAGTGAAAACTAGAAGAGACCTATATGTCAGTTAAGCCAGGAATTAAAATGTTAGCGTTTCTTGCAGAGAGAGCTGTCAACTTGAAAAATTATTAAATGGTAAGTGCTGTCAATGAACTTGAAAGATTTGCCCCGGGTCAACCAAAATGCAGATAACTGATACATACACTCACATGGCAGATAAACACAGCTAGATCCAAGGGAGGATGTTTTGACATAGAAGAGTGAAATGACTTGCTCAAGTTCACTTAGAAATTAAATTCTCTAGCATGAATCCCTGGGTCTGAAGTTCTTTGGCCACCAGGATTGACAGTTCATTGTCTTCTACAGGTTGCATAAAATTTTTTCTTGTTTGCTGGCCTTCTTTTCTTTCTTGCTTTTTCAAAAATTTTTTATTTTCTTTTTTGGCTGTGCTGGGGACTGAACCCAGGACTTAGCAATGTGAAACAAACTCCACTGTGGAGCTACATTTCTATTTTTTTTTTTTTTTTTGTGCTAGTTTTTCTAGCTGAGTCCCCTCTGAGTGTCAACATGGGATCCTTTGAAAGCAAAGCTAAGCCACTATTATTAGAAGAAAAGAGTTTAAGAAAGTGATTTTTTTCCCCCAACCCTCAGCTCATCATCCAAAACTGTGGTGGAAAATGAGCAAAACAGAAGATAAGTGTCCTACTTCTTGATTTTGACCTTATTTTTGTGCAAAGGTAGAAGAAGCCTTTGGAATGAGATAGAAGGTAGAATTACGCCTCATTTTCCTAACGATACAGGCACTATAATAACTTTGGAAAAGTAATCCTCAACATGATACCCATAGGAATATGTCTAATAAGTAATTTGAAATCATATAACATTCCTGCTGTGGAGCAGCGCAAGGGAACCGTGAGGGGATTAGATTTATTTTCCCGTGTTTTTGTAAATGAGGCTGAGAGGCAGGAAGAGGGGCATCGCCTACTTAATACTAATATTCTGACATTGTGTGACTATGTTCTTAGGCCCAGATCCAAATGGTCCTCAGGCAGAGAGAAACCGAAGCTGAAAGCTGAGAACCATCAATCTCCAAAGCTGAGCTTTTTCAGATGCTTTCTGAAAATTGAGTATGCTCATGATGTCCAGTGCATCCCGTGATTTCTAAAGGCTGGGGACTCAGGGAATGTGCTGATGAAAAGAAATCTCAGGGGGAATCGACAAAACCTAGCCTTTGAAACAGAGACTCAAATTTCAGAATAAAACAAATGATTTTGTTTAGCATAGTCAGAGGAAAGCAAACGCTACTCGRATTTTTGAGTTTTACAAAAACGTCTTCCGCAAGAAAGAGAAAGGGATATCACAGATTTCCAGCCAAGAATTTTAAATAGTAGAGAATWATATTTGTCAAATACTAGTACAAAGGAGCTGGTCCAGGGAAGAGTTCCATGAATATTTTTCATTAAGAGGAATCGAAACCCCGTAAAGCCATGATGGTTCTGTTGGCCACTTCTACAGGGATAGCTACTTTTTAAATTTATTTGGCACTTGCTGGATGTCAGACACTAAATTAAGTACTCCATAAGCACTATCTTGGTTGATCTTTATGGCAGGACGAGGCAGGGGTTATTATTCCCACTTTCTAAATTGGAAAGGTGAGGTTCAAAGAGGTAATTAATTGGCCACAAGTTCATTCAATTGGTAGGTGAGCTAACTAGCCAGGATTCAAATGGAGACCTGGGACCCTATTGTTAAACTGCCCAGCCTCCCAGAAAGCATAATTCTAACAGTTTAAGCCCCACTCCACACACACACACACACACACACACAGCTTAGGGAAACAGATATTTCAAGGGTGTCCTCTAGTTTGATGAGAAGGCATGGAATCATTCTGCATAATGCCTAGGACACAACCAGAAAGGGCGACCGAGAGATGTTCACAGCACACTGAACTCAGGCTGAGAAAGCAGCAGCAGAAGAGAGGTCTGTAATTAGGAGCAGCTCCTTCATTCAGGGAGAGTGAAGGGGAGCGTTTCTGACAAGCCTGGGCGCCAAGATCAATATTATCTTTTATTAAAAAAATAATTGAAGCTGATACAAGGCTTTTGCAGATCCAAATTCACCATGACCGGGGAGAAGAACAGGGGGTGGGGCGAGCAGTTGAAGATAGCAACCGATTTTCAGTAGCCTAGGGAAGGAGAGGAGAAGCAAATGAAATTCAATATTCCAGAAGCTAAAGCCCCKTGCTTGTAGAGAACAAAAGAAAACACACCTAATGGAGTCGGATAATAAAGGGAACGCTCTGCATTCATAAGGTATTGGGTCCTACAAAGACCTTGCAAATAGTCCCTGGGAATCCATTGCTGTACACCTGTGGGGCATTATGGTTTGGGAGCTACTCTGTAGTGAACCCGACCACTGACAATGGGGAGAAAGCACCAATGCTATGATGATTGCATCCTTGGCCTTGAGGGGATTAGGATCCAAAGCCACCTGCGAAGAGAACAACACAGCGCTGGCTCAGGGGCCCACCGCCTGGGTGCTCTTTTTGCCAGTGGGTGGGAAATTTTCTGTGTGGTCTCCTGAAAGATAAGCTACCCCATCCCCTGCTTCATTCTCTGTAGAACAAAGTTTTGCAAGAACTCTGTTCACTAACCCCCATGGTTAAGGTCAGCAGTCAGAKAAAGCTGATGGAGAGTGGGGACATCTTTGTATACATGACCAGTTTTCAGAGAATGAGAAATGTACTGAAGGAAGGATGCATGACCCTTTGGACTACCTATCCTCTGAGATAATTTTGAAAAACTTTGTAACCCCAACCCATATTCCTCAGTTGATCTAAGGTTTTTCATTGTAAGCTAATGCAATTGCAAAAGATGTGACTTCCAGCCTATTGTGAAATCCTACAATTCAAAATATAACTGTCACTAACTCTTTTAAATGAGTCCAATTGAAGGATTTAATACCCACCATCATCCATTTTATTTATTTTTTCATTTATTTATTTATTTATGGCACTGGGGATTGAACCCGTGGTCTCATTCATGCTAGGCAAGTGCTCTACCACTGAGCTACGTGGGTAGCCTTTCATTGTCCATTTTAACAATACAAGTACAAATTTCTTTAATAGAAGGAAATTCTTTTTTCTCTCTCAACATTGAATTTCCATTCTTGTTTGTTTTAATATTTTTAAAAAATATTTCTTTAGTTGTAGATGGAMACAACATCTTTTTTTAATATTTATTTTTTAGTTGTAGTTGGACACAATATCTTTATATATTTATTTTTATGTGGTGTTGGGGATTGAACCCAGGGCCTTGCCCGTGCTAGGCAAACGATCTACCGCTGAGCCACAACCCCAGCCCGACACAACATCTTTATTTATTTATTTATCTTTATGTGGTGCTGAGGAATTGAACCCAGTGCCTCACACATGCAAGGCAGGCGCTTTACCACTGAGCTATATCCCCAACCTGTTTTAATATTTTTAAAATTAATTTTTAATTTATATATGACAGCACAATGCATTATAATTCTTATTACACAGATAAAGCACAATTTTTCATATCTTTCGTTGTATACAAAGTATATTCACATCAATTCGTGTCTTCATACATGTACTTTAGATAATAATGTCCATCTCATTCCATCATCCTTTCTAACCCCATGTTCCCTCTCTTTCTCTCCCACCCCTCTGCCTTATCTAGAGTTTGTCTATTCCTCTCATGCTCCCCTCCCTACTCCACTATGAATCAGCCTCCTTATATCAGAGAAAACATTCGGCATTTAGTTTTGGGGGACTGGCTAACTTCGCTTAGCATTATTCTCCAACTCTATCCATTTACCTGCAAATGTCATGATTTTATTCTCTTTTATTGCTGAGTAATATTCCATTGTGTATATATGCCACATTTTTAATCCATTCATCTATTGAAGGGCATTTAGGTTGGTTCCACAGTTTAGCTATTATGAATTGTGCTGCTATAAACATTAATGTGGCTGTGTCCCTGTAGCAGGCTGATTTTAAGTCCTTTGGGTATAGACTGAGGAGAGGGATAGCTGGGTCAAATGGTGGTTCCATTCCCAATTTCCCAAGAAATCTCTATACTGCTTTCCATATAAAATATGGGAATACTTCACAAATTTGTGTGTCATCCTTTTGCAGAGGCCATGCTAATCTTCTCTGAATTGTTCCAATTTTAGTATAGGTGCTGCCGAAGCGARCATCACTTTAATATTTTGTGCTTGTCTTTTATGATCACACATATGTTTCCATGATAAGTGTATGTATGTGTATCTGTGTGCTTAGGGARCGGCTGGTATTATAGCTCAGTCCCAGATCATGATAGATTATATTCTTAGCATGTTCAAGGCCCTGAATTCAACCCCCAGCACTAAAAAGAGACAAAAATACATGGGTTTAAAATTTGTACTCGGGATCAGGTATCATAATTGTTAAAGAATAATTGCCATAATAATATAAATAGTTTAAAAGTTTGAGAAATAATTATATTGTTGTTGTTGTTGTTGTTGTTGTTGTTGTTTTTCTGGGGATAAAATTCAGGACTTCACACATGCTGGGAAAGTGCTCTACCTCTGAGCTACATCCCAGCCCATAAAACTAAAACTTTTATAGACATATGTCTTCATGAGCCAGGAGGGAGTTTATGGTGTCTTGAATTTTCCTGTTTGATGCCCTGAAGATATTATGCCTGGGATATTGTTGCAAAGTAAGTTTTTGTTGTTCAATTTTTATAATATAGGAGAAGGAAAAAACTTTTGCCTGAAGGTGCAAGGAAGAAAAACAMAGGGTTGTTTTTAAGTCAATCAATTTTTAGGAGAGGGGATTTATAGATGCCCAAGAATTGAAAATTGATCCTCTTAAAATTATTCACACACAGGTACCAGGTGCAACGATCTGGTATGGGGCTCAGGTAGGGACCTGTACTCTGGTTGATGACCACTGCCTCTAAGGACTCTGGGTGGACTGTCATTTCCTCTTTCTCTGGGGAGACAGAGAAGCCATCCAGAATCTTAGAGGACAGYTGAGGGTAGAGATGTCAGACAAGCCTTTGATATGTGAGCTTTGTCACTTGCTAGCTATGTGACTTTCACAAGTTATAAGCYTTCCTGACACTGAGCTTCCTCTGCTTTCAAATTGGCTCCACCACAGCATCCCTGGAAGGAGTGGTGACTAACAGAAGTCAGGATGGATATGGAAAGTGGACACCTGGGGTTTATTAGCTTCCTTTTCTACTATGGAAAGATTTGATTATTTTGGTTCAGCYACATGGGCATAGGAAAGAGAATAGTCACCTTGGGTATCTCTGTCCCTCTCTCTTCCAGGAGTAGACACCATGGCCAGCCCTGCTCTCATCCCACAAGCAGGAAACAGGAAGGAAGTCTGAATAGGTCATTGACATCTTGCTCKGTTTGGTCCCAAGGTTCTAAGTGGGGAAGGGGCCCTTTAACAAGGAGAGGATCCCTTCTGAGGGCTGTTTCCTGGGGCTTACTGGGGTTGAAGTTTCAGGCAGTAGGTGCTCAGAAAATGGACCACAGTCTAAGCTCTTTCTAAGCACCATGCACCCCAGAGGGAAGTATTACTGACCCTCTCCATTTCTTGTCCCAGGAAATGTGCTGGATCATGATGCCCCAGGGTAGGGGCTTTGTGCTCTTTCTAACCATATTCCTGGTGCCTAGGACAAAACTGTCCAATAGAAATATAATTGTAGTCATGTGTTCAATTTAAATTTTTCTAGTAGCTAAATTAAAACTATGAAAGAAACTGGTGAAATTAATATTGATTTTTATATACAAATATATGCAAACTATTATCATTTAATCCAGTATATCCTAAATATTTTATTATTGCAATATATAATCAATATAGAATTATTAATAAGATTTTTTTTTTGTTTCTTTTTGCACTGTCTTTGAAATCCAGGCTCAGAACATCTCTTTTAGACTAACTATGTTTCAAGTGCTTCATAGCCAGAAGGCTCAAGGGTTCAATGGATGAAGCCACCATAGACCTAGAACAATTGTTAGCACACAGCAAGCACTCTAGATGCATTTACTACTAGACAATTMAATTATAGTCTATAGAATTTTTAGGGCTGCTAGAATAAGGTACCAGAGTGCAATGGTTTAAAACAATAGACTGTTCCCATGCCTTTCTCTCAGCTGGTGGATTCAGGTAATTCTTGTTCCCTGGTGTGTGGCTGCATCATGCCAATTCCTGTTTTTCTTCACATGTTCTTCCTCCCTATATGTCTCCTGGAAGAATACTTCTTTGACTTAGGGTCCACCCTAATCCAATATGATCTTACCTTCATCCTTATTTTAATCATGTCTATGAAGAACTTAATCTCAAGTARGATCACCTTCTGAGTTTCCAGATGGACATAAATTTGGGGGACATTATTCAATTCACATCAGGAAGCTAAGTGCTTCCATTAAAAAATATTATATATATATACATATACATATATATATATATATATATGTATATGTATATATATAACCTTCCTGAATTCAGATGGGCAACTGCCTTGCAATGCAGGAAGCTGATAATTGGAGATTTCAAATAATGTGCCCATATTCTGCTAAGTGTTCAGGCTCAGACCAATCCAGTGTGACTCCAAAGTCCATATAACCTGTATTTAACTTCTGACTTCGTGGTCTGTGGATTCTTATTAACTGACCCACATAAAAGCCTTCTGTAGGATTGTTTTCTGTTTGGTATTTCTAATTGTTGAGTCAGTGGCTGGACCTCATAGTGCACTTTCCATTGTGATCATAATGATTACTCTGTATAAGAACCACTTTACCATTGTTATAGAAAGACAAGGAATTTGTTTCTTATCATTTTAAAGACAAGGAAATTATGGGAGAAGGAGAGATCAGACTCTCCTAGACTGGACTAGTGAAGCATTTTGCATCCACTCTTTGGAAACCATCATCAGATTTGGAGCAAAATTYAGAGTATCCAGGGATCAAGATACCTCCAGGGGAGAGTTTTGTGAAGAAATGTTTGTGAAATTGATTCAGTATTCTGGGGAAGGAACCCAGATTGTTCCACTAAAAGGAGCACTTACTGATATCAAAATCAATASGGAAGAGAGTGGGCCTTCCCTTCAAAATGTGTATTTTAAGATTTGATGGACAGAAATTCTAGGATAACTAGGAAAGTGAGTCTGGATAGTTCTACTTGAGGGAGGGCCAACTACCCAAAAGCACTCTTTTTATACATGTATGTGAGAGTGCACATGGCCCTTTACATCTTTTCCTGTTATTTCTTACTATATTTTTATTAAAGTAGTCCAACCACCCAGGCTTCTCATATTGTGCTGGGAGTCCCCACCACACAGTGAGATGAGACAGACGCACATCAGCTCTTTTGGCCAAAGCCTGCCAAATGGTTTTAGTTGAGGGCAGTGGCATTTCCATGTCCATTGCCTCCAGCCCTTCTGGTGCCCAGTAGGGTCCAAGTGTTATTGACTGACCTGGGGGGGGGGCAATTTCCAGCTGTGCAGAAGTCCCCATGCTCAAAGCAGCAGCAACACTTTGAATACCAAGAACATCTGTCCCACTGTGGCATTTCCATCCTGGGACTGGGTGTCGAAAGAATGGGCATTTGGCTTCAAACTTGGAGGGAGGAGTCTCGAGAAGACATTGGTTCTCTCCCTCCACCACATCTGGGCAAAAGGGTCCTGGGACCACATAAAACATGTGCTGACTTGCTACTGTTAAGAAACAAAAGCAAGACCAAAAGCAAAAAAAAAAAAAAAAAAAAACCAACCCCAAACCCAAAGCTAAACAAAGAGCAGATTATTGTGCTCCTGCCTGAATAAACTGAAACTACAAGACTGTGGCTACACTGAGAAAATATTCCTTCTGTGGAGTAAACTGTGGGTTCCTGTTTGCTTTTTAAAAGAGCCTGTTTTGAGCCCTATGAGCTTGGCGTGCTCCATGGTAGGGACTGCAGGTTTGTGTCCACATGTGTCTGCAAGCTCCTATGTGAAATTATAACTCCTAGTGTGGCTGTATTTGGAGATGAGGCCCTAAGGAAATAATTAAAGTTAAATGAGGGCATGTTAGGGTTTGGATCTAAATGTACTTCCTAAAGCTCGTGTATTAAAGGCTTGGTTTCCAAGGTAGCAGTGTCCAGAGTGGGGCCTTTGGAGGGTGATTGGCTCACGAGAGCTCTACCCTCATCCAAAGATTAACCCATTGATGGATTCATAGTTTAAGAGGAGATTGGGAGGTGGTAGAAACTAAAGAGGTGAGGCCCAGTTGGAGGGAGTGGGTCTTTAGGGAGCTTACACTTTTGTCCTGAGGCACTCTCTCTCTCCTCTCTCTGTGTCCCCTTCCCTGTCTCTCTTTGGCTGCCAACAAGTGAGCAGCTCTGCTCCACCACAGACCCCCGCCATGATGTTCTGCCTCACCACAGACTTGGAAGCAACAAGCCAAGTGATTATGGACGAAAACCTCCAAAACCAAGGGCCAAAATAAATCTTTTCTTCTTTAAGTTGATTTTCTCAGGTATTTTGTCACAACAGAAAGCTGACTAACACAGAGCATGGGGCCAGGGGTTAACATTGCCCCTTTCCCCAGCGGGTAAGCACAGAGGAAAGACCGTGTGAACACATGGCAGGAAGATGGCCATCTACAACCCAAGGGTCAAGCGCTCACCATGCTCCAATTCCACTGGCCCCTTAATCTTGGGCGTTCCCACTCAAGAACAGTGAGAAGAGAAGTGTCTGTTGTTGAAGCCACCAGGTCCGTGGTGTTTCTTTATGGCAGCTGGAGCAGATGGATGCACTCACAAGTTCAGACAGGCACAGGAGCTTAGGCTGTGTCCTCATCCTTTGTCCCTTACCTGTCTGACCTCAGTTTCCTCATTGGTAAAATAACATCTCCGTTACCTTATCCACAGGGATGCTGACTCTAACCCCCGCCCCCCAAACAAGAGAGAGTCTCCCCCAAGTGGGAAACTTCAGAGGGACTTTCTCCCTTGTCCTGCCATTCCATTGGTCTCTCATAACTGGAGACAGGGACAGAGGATTTCCTTTTAGAAGGGAGCTCCACAGACCTGGGCACTCAGCTGCTCTTTTTCAGTAGCATGAGTTTTATTTCTCTGTCAATGGAGGGTGTGTAATGTTCTCTCAGCTCCCTTCCAGGTCTAAAATCATGCTTCCCCAACAGCGTTTCTTCTTTTGGATCAT